GGGCAATACCCCCCCGCGGCACCAAGAGGCCTGAGCTGCGTTGGCCGGCAAGCCGGGCCCGGGGGGCACCCCTCCGGCAGCTGGGCACCCCCCCACCGGCACCAGGAAGGGGCGGGCGCACCCGCCTGGCACGGGGGCGGCACACAGGGGGCGCCTCCACCCCCCAACCGGGGAGGCGCTCCCCACCCACTCGCACGGAGCTTGATTCTGGCACCCCCCCTGGCCGAAACACCCCCCACGACCCCCGGGCCCCCCGGGCTATGAGCCACCCCAACCCACCGAACGGAGGGGCCAGGCAGCCCACACCCATACATCCGGACAACTTAAACTAACCATATCCAGTACAAACCAACCATTACCGAAATAGACTCGGCTAGGGGCGGGAGCTTCCCACCCCGGGGCCCCCCCGGGGGGGCAGGGCCCGCGCCAGGGGGGGGGGACCGGGGACCACCCACGAAGTAAAACGCAAGAATAAAGACACAACAACCAAGTCAATGGGTTCAAATTGGGCAACTTTTATTTAACGTTACCTATTTAAGTGCTTAACCTAACTCAAAGGGGTGTCGGGAACTGGTATAACCAAACCCAGGTAGATTCACTACCAGATCTTAAAACAACAATTTTCGGGCGAAGCACCTGGGTTTCCTGGTAATAAACCCGGACCACCAAGCAAGGGAAATGAGTGAGGAGTCTCTTCCAAAGATCTTGCACCCTGACTCCTCTCATTTCACGGCCATTTGACTACACCTCACCCTTAACTGTGGTGAGTGCCCAACTTAATGGCCTGTCACCCCTTAAAGGGGTGCCCTAGGTGCACACCGACTAAAAGGAATTTCCCTCGCTATTTACGCCACGGATTGGGGTCAAATGTCTATTTCGTCCCCATCCCCCACCAATTCCTCTAACACCCTTCTAATACCTTCCTGTAAATCTAACAAAAACTGTTGGTTGCCCAACTCGGAAAGATGCACTCCATCCACCCGATACAATCTCTCGTCGTCTTGGAGTGATGGCTACGTGCTCAATGTAGTAACCCCTCTGTCGTATCATAAACATTCGCATGGCCCTGTTTACTCTCTTTCTGGCTCTCTCGAGCCTCCGCACGTCGCCTCCTCCCAACCACCTGCGACGTGGAATAATAGCCGACCATGCAATGTGCACACGGGGCCATGCCCACCAAATCTTTTGGATATCTGCGCATGCTTGTAGGAAGAGTGCTTTCCCAGTCAACAAGCCCAAATCATTACCACCGAGGTGGATAACTAACACATCAGGAGGTGGCCCACTCCTGGCACTAAACAAGGGGCACAAACCGTCCCAACGCAGGCCTCTTACGCCTCTCCATTCGACAGTTGCAATGGACGCGAGACCCAAATGCTGGCCATAGGCAGTCTTAAGGGCCTCTCTTTCCGCCCAGAAGACAAAACTGTGTCCGCACACCAGGACCCTTCTCCTATGCGCCAGCCCATTCAAGCCCAAATCGTTACCACCGAGGTGGATAACTAACACATCAGGAGGTGGCCCGCTCCTGGCACTAAACAAGGGGCACAAACCGTCCCAACGCAGGCCTCTCACGCCTCTCCATTCGACCGTCGCGATGGAAGCGAGACCCAAATGCTGGCCATAGGCAGTCTTAAGGGCCTCTCTTTCCGCCCAGAAGACAAAACTGTGTCCGCACACCAGGACCCTTCTCCTATGCGCCAGCCCAATGTGACCAATGATAACAATAACTGTAATGAAACTGGACGTACGTAACTCTTAAACGCGCTGGACCTCCATCTGCCTAAGGCCTTAATTTTTTCTTCTTCATATCCCATTGCTGATGCTGATGAGGCCGCGCCAATCCTAAATGAGTGTGTGTCGAATTTAAGGTGTCCCATCCCCAGAAGGTCCAGTGCTTTGGTTGTAACTGTCCAAAACTGATAATTGGTCAGCGGTGTTCCGTCCTGATGACGGAACAGGTAACTTCCCTCCGTGCCCCTGAGTGCCGTAAATTGCACCATAGCTGAAACTGGGCACAAATCTTCTTCCCCGCATCTTAGCAGGCTGATCGCCTGACCCTTAGCCCCCTGATCTGTTTTTGAGGTTCTGATTTTGATTTCAATTTTATCTTGGAAAACCTTAACATCAGAAACGAGCAGAGCGCGGTGTGAGGTATCAGACTTGGATAATGACACCAATTCACTCACACAAAGGGCTGCACAAAATGCCGTCAACGCTGCTGCATGAAACAAAGCCTGCTCATATAGTGATGCGCACAAACGGGGCCATATTTGCCTAAGTCCCTTAAGAATTGTAGGTGTCAAGGGCTGGCGGTCATCCTTGGAATGCCCGCACTGCCTAGACCATCCGGCTATAATTTTGTGGATGCGAAAGTCGTCAGTGGGATCGCTAAGGCCCTGGGCCTTAAACCAATATGCGAGCGCTGACAACTTTGATTTGATGGATTGTGGGGCCAACCCTCTCCTTTTGTGGTAAACACAAAACTGGGCCAAGTGATCATAAGGCATGGACTCGGGTAATTTATAATGCTGCCTAAAGTGTCCCTCAAAGCAAACTCCAAACCCTATGGCGCCTGAAGCGTCCGATGAGACTTGTAAGGCATTCTTAACCATCAACTCCTGTCGCCAAAACAAAACTCCATTAAATTGGCGAAGGAATTGTAGCCAAATGAACAAATCAGACTTTATGGCTAGCGTTATCCTAATGTGATGGTGGGGCATGGCTACACCCGAGATAGCATCACAAAGTCTGCGAAGAAACGCCCGGCCAGGTGCTATTACCTTACAGGCAAAATTTAAATGGCCAATTATCTGTTGAAACTCCCGTAAGGTAGCCTTCTGCCATGACAAAAAGTGTTCTAACTTATCTATCAAACCCTCAACCTTTGCCGCCGGCAGCCTGGAAAATTGATTAACTGTATCTAATTCTATCCCCAAAAAGGTCAAAACCGTATGGGGACCTTCCGTTTTTCCTCAGCCAGAGGCACAACGCCGCAGCAACCGCACTGCTGAATCAAAAGATGTGTAGCTTACTGAGCATTGCTCATCGGGAATGGCGTCATTCACAGAGCCCCCTCTGGGGTAAGACAAATGATGAATGAGGCGATATTCACCGATGGCTTTTTTGGGCACTATTCCCAACGGGGAGAACCTAAACTGAGGCGTGGGGGGTGCAGAAAATGGTCCCAGAACCCTGCCCTCCTTTACCTCTTTATCTGTTTTTTGTTTGACCACCGCCTCCAAGCCTATAACAGATTTCAAATTAGGAGATAAACAGGGGGAACGCGGCCCAAGGGCCAGAATCCGAAAACCATCCATACAGCCACGAAGCAAATAAATTGCCTCAGCTCTGTCAGGGTATATTTCCAGCCAACCACTAAGAGGACCCACCTTGACTGGGCTGGGGCCCTTTCTGAACATTAGCCTGGGCAGGGTTCTTTCTATTGAACTGGGCGTCTCTTGGCGCAGGTCTTGTGGGTTTTCCCTTGAAACAGCTTTTGGCTGCGTGGTTACCCTGGCATATTGTACAGGCATGCTGAAATTTGCAGTTCTTTCGGGAGCAAGCTCCCTGGGCCGCATATTCCCAGCACATATTTTTTTGTCTTTTTGGCTGTTGTGCTGGGCCTCCTTGCCGAAAGGGCTGACCTCCCCTAGTGTTTTGGATGGTGTGGCCACTACCGGCCTTCTCACCAGAGACTGATCTGGTTGTATTCATTACCTCCATCCACAGCTGACTATCAATGAGGTCCCATCGCTTATTAGGCATCGTGGCAGCCTCGGCACGAAAGCGGCTATCATAAACCAGCCACGCCTGACCGGAGTAATTAACATATGCCCCGTAAATTATATTTTGATATTTAAACAGGGACTTAGCCCTATATGGATGAGCCTCAACTATCAAGGATGCATAAATGGTGTAGCAAGCTATCCAGTTTTTCCAATTTTGCTCCACCCTCCTCTTCTTTAATTTTTCCTTTGCGTTCCTCATCCAGATCCTCTTTTTCCTTCTTCTCTAATTCTCTAAAGTATACGGAAAAAATATCTATATATTCATTCCTGAGGATCTTATCAATGGTTTTTGAGACAGATGGGCCCCTAGAGAGGCCGAGGCCGCCGTAGAAATTATCGGCAGAACCCATTTGTCAGTTCCCCAAAATTGGTTGGCCTCCCCCGATCTAGCCACTTCTAGGGATATTGGGGCCACAGCAGTGTCATGGGAAACGGCCTTAATGACCGAAACCCCCGATGCAGCCGGCGCTGAATCCGTGTGAGTAAGTGATGTAGTTTGTGTCTGATTTTGGCCCCAGGGCCAAACCAGTGTGGTGCTGTTACCTGTATACGTGGAGGGTCCCTCCGGGACAGCAGGTTGCGAAGAGGGGTTGGTCGACACCATGATTTCAGGCGCGGAAGGTTGACTCTGACGTGCTGGCAGCACTGGGTCAGCCGGCTTGGGCGTAGATGTCGCGGCTGGCCTCGCTGTCGGCACTTGACCAGCTGTTGCAGTGCTCTGCGGTTCTGCTTGGGCCACCATGGGCCCAGTTGTTATCGTTGAACTCGCCGCTGGAGCTTGGACAGCCATTGCCTGGGGCTGAGATAAAGCCCGAGCCCCGGGATCACCGTCTGGCTGGTTGGACTCTGGCTGGGTGGCCCGCTCTCCTTCTTGAGTCCCAGCTTTACGAGCAGACTCTAGTGGAGACATGCGAGAAAGCAAATTCATAAAGATTAGCTTAGTACTAGCCCGTCGAGCCGGGCGTGGCCCGGCCTCCCTCACCGGCAAACCCCTCTCCCTCTCAAACTTATCCATTCTGGCCATTAAGGCCTCGATGTCCTCGGCCGAAACGCCCTCATCCTCCGATGATGACTCGTGAGGAGGGGGGGCGTTTCGCCGGCGTCTTCTTGGCCGGCCCCTGTCCCTTAGAGCAGCCCATGTTCTTCTTTGGCGCCATCCTGAAGGAAAAATTGATGCTGCTCCATCAAATATAGCAAAGAATGCTGGTCTCCTCTAAAATGTCATCAGTTCAAGCTGGAGCTAACCTCAGCAGCTCACTTCCCACCTGTGATCTCCTATCAATGGTAAACAGACTATGAACCTGACTCGGCTTAAGCAAGCCCTATGCTCATGTGGTCTGCCTGATGAACTGTCGCTGACTGATGGGGCCTATTGATCTACTCACATTTGCATATCGCAAAGATATCCCTATCAGAAGCTGGATCTAACAGCAGGAGCTCCCCTCCTGGCGTAATTAATTTTTTGTTGCTATCAGAAGCTGGATCTAACAGCAGGAGCTCCCCTCCTGGCGTAATTTATTTATTTATTTATTTTTTTGCTATCAGAAGCTGGATCTAACAGCAGGAGCTCCCCTCCTGGCGTAATTTTTTTTGTTGCTATCCGAAGCTGGATCTAACAGCAGGAGCTCACCTCCTGGTGTAATTTTTTGTTGCTATCCGAAGCTGGATCTAACAGCAGGAGCTCCCCTCCTGGCGTAATTAATTTTTTTTATTTTTTTTATTTTATTTTTTTGCTATCAGAAGCTGGATCTAACAGCAGGAGCTCCCCTACTGGCGTATTTTTTCTTTTTCTTTTTTTGTTGCTATCAGAAGCTGGATCTAACAGCAGGAGCTCCCCTCCTGGCGTTATTTATTTATTTATTTTTGCTATCAGAAGCTGGATCTAACAGCAGGAGCTCCCCTCCTGGCGTAATATTTTTTTGTTGCTATCAGAAGCTGGATCTAACAGCAGGAGCTCACCTCCTGGCGTGATTTTTTGTTGCTATCCGAAGCTGGATCTAACAGCAGGAGCTCACCTCCTGGCGATTTTTTGTTGCTATCCGAAGCTGGATCTAACAGCAGGAGCTCACCTCCTGGTAATTTTTTTATTTTATTTATTTATTTATTTTTTATTTATTGCTATCCGAAGCTGGATCTAAACAGCAGGAGCTCACTAACGCTGGGCGCTAAAGAGTTTTATTTATGCTCATAGACTATACCGAAGCCTGGCATCTAAACAGCAAAACAGCGCAGCTCACCTCCTGGCGTAATTTTTTGTTGCTATCCGAAGCTGGATCTAACAGCAGGAGCTCACCTCCTGGTGTAATTTTTTGTTATCAGAAGCTGGATCTAACAGCAGGAGCTCCCCTCCTGGCATTATTTATTTATTTATTTATTTTGCTATCAGAAGCTGGATCTAACAGCAGGAGCTCCCCTCCTGGCGTAATTTAAATTTTTTATTTATTTTATTTTATTTTAATTAGAAGCTGGATCTAATAGCAGGAGCTCCAATTCATTTGCAAAGCTGGTTTAAATCATCAACCAGCCAGCTGCTTGCACTGACAAAATGCCCGACCCGGCCCAGCTCGAGGTTAGCCCAAAATGGCAGCCGCCTCTTCTCCTAAAATGGCCGCCATCAAGTGCAACCAAACCGAAACCGAAACCAGTATCAGGAGGGCCCAGCCGGCATATGAAACAAAAACCTGCTGCAGTAATGACCTCACACCAGGCCCACATGGCGACCCAAGGCCGAGCTCGGCCTAAGCCTCCACGAGCGGGCCTGGCCAAAGGACGAGGAAAGAAGAGGCAGGAAGCGGGAGGGGGGGGTGCTCGAAACCAGACCCCCGATGAAGCGACCCACAGGCCTTCCTGGAGGAGGGGGTGCCGCCCACCCCCACAGGGCCCCGACACAGACCTGTAGGTATTCTTTTTCCCTTCTGCTTCGTCTGGTCTTCTTTCTTGAGTTCTTCACTCCACTCTCCTCTTCACTCAGATCTTCTCCCAATCTTCAGTCCTCTTTAGTCTGCCTTCACTCTAGTCTTCTCTTTTCTTCTTTCTTCCCTTTTCTTCAATCTTGTCTTCTCCCTGGTCGTCGCTGCGTCTTCTCTCTTCAGCTTCCAGGCTCCGAATGAGCCTGGGTGGGGGCTGGCCTGTACTAACAGGCCACGCCCCCTAGTCCTCTGGAAGGTTCCATTGGAACCATCCCTGCCTCGTGGGAGGCAGACAAACCATTTTTCTCTCCCCATTTCACGGGGAGAAGAAATTTATTGGACACACATACCCCCAAGAAAAGCACACGCTGTCTGGGGCATGTGTGGACTTTAACTTAGGCACAATCATGTTTAAGGTTTAAGGGCAGTGTGGAACCACCCTCTTTTGCAGCTGAACCCAGACTTTACCAATACTTTTTTAAAACACAGGTTTTCCCATTTAATGTGGTTCTGATCAGAGTGTGGGCATGTGTCGTTTGACACCCCCCCCCCTTATAAACCACTTCAGTGTGAATTATAAGGCCTGTGTAGATGGGGCTTTAGTTAAGGATTCTTTTTGAAACCATCAATTTAGAATATAGCATGGACATATCCAATTCTCATATTTGGTGATAAGTAGGAATTTGTGGGAAAGACTACAACTGGCATAGGATTGCGCAGAATCTTCTTCTCCCTTACAGTCTGTTCCAGACCCTTAGGACCTCATTGTTGAATTCTACATTTCTATTTCTTCCTTCTGCCCACCTCTTTCTCTTTTATATCTTCCACTTTTTCTTTTACTTAAAAAATGCCCATATCTCCTGCATTCTAAATGTGCATGTTTTAGAACAGTACACTAAAAATCAGATCCTATTAAACTTCCATTAATTGTTTTTAAGATAAGCTTTAATATGTTTTAAAATGGTAAAGTATACAGTGCAAAGCAGATTAAATAACAAAATAATAGGATGGGGAAAATTTTCTGCAAAAGCAGTATGAGGGGGAGGGGGCTATGTAAGGTTTTGTTTTCTTTTTTTCCAATATAAGGATGTGATTTTAAAGGGCATAGCTTGGGTTATTTATGCAGCAGTCCACATGAAATAAATTATCAACTGGAGAAGGTAATTTGCCTTGGGGTTTTGTTGCAGAGATTGCAGGACAACATTCCTTATTTATGATTTGACAATAATATTGCTCCGGGCTGATGATGAGCAGATATTTTACTATAATTATATTGCAGCTATTCTCCCTGTGCTTAAGAGCAAATTAGTTTAATATTATAAGCCTTTGTGTGAACATGCATGATGAGTGTCTGAGTGTTTTCAAGTACGCATATGTGCATGAAAACGAGAGACCGAATGAGTTACAACATTTTAATCCTAAGAAATAAACATTTTATAGTGAATCTGTCAAGAAAAATTCTGGGGCAGTAATTTGCATCATGTCACAATCCTACCTCAACAGTAGCATCTCATTAAATATGAATTTTCAGCTGAACAAATTATGGAGAGATGCACATTTTATCTGGAAAACAACATTTTAGTTTCTGAGCATCCCAATTTGGAGACCTCTGTCATTATCATATGTTAAGATCCAAATTCAGGACAGTTTTTGTTGCTGTTTAACCCATAAAAGTACATCTGTCATATACATATAGTTTAAGTAAAGTAAAAAGTTAAATACTAGTTCACAACATCTCTTAGTGATTTTTTTTTGTTTAAATAGCAATATAAAAGTACAGGAATTAGCTATAGGCAGGGGCTCCTGATTTGAAGGATGGCTGACTCTTTTCCCTTCCCATAGTTGCCTGGCCTAGTAAAAAAATCTATGTGAAGCGATTGTATTAACCTCACTTTGTACTGAGAATTTCTCTCTCTCCATAAATAGAGAAATGGAGCGCAAAACATGTATTTCAGCTATCAGGATATTGTACAAAATGACCACATTACCATAAAACATCATGTTGACAACTACTAGGACTGGATCTTCTATTAGACAGAGCAAAGCAGCAGGTTCAGACAAAACATTTTGGATATGTCATCAATCAGCAGAAAGTTTGCAAATAAATGCATTATAAATGTGTTACAAAAAATGATGCTAGAACAACGGTTCCCAACCTGTGACCTCTGGTCCACGGGTGGGCTGCAAGACCTTTTTTTAGTGTTAGGGTTAGGGAGAGAAGGGAGGAAAGAAGGAGATGCTCTTGTCCTTGCCAGCACTTTCCTGGCCAATGGAGAAGACTCACCCAGTAGCACGTATGAGGGGGTGAGAGAGAGAGGAGAGGGAGAAAAGCACCCCATGGTTGTCATGACCCGGGAGTCAGTTAGCACATGTGAAAGTGGGCAGGCTGCCCTCAATTGCCAAGGTGATACCTCATCTTGAGGTTCAGGTGCAGGGACTGCTTGTTAGGCACCTCTTCCTTTGTGTCATGAATCCGAAGCAGCCCAAGAATAGAGGTGGTGGGGGGACCCCTGTGATTGGCTCCACAAATTGGGAAGCTGGGCTGGTGACTGCCCAATTGGAAGAGGTGCATTGGGATCTGCTTTCTATAAGAACAGCTGCTAGATCCATGCATGCCTTCCACTGTTGAAAGGGCAATGAACTGCAGCCCTTGCTCAGGCACATGTACAAGCAGGCTTCATGTGGCTCAGTTCACCTTTAAACTTCCTCCCATTTCCTTTTTAACTGGAAGGAGGCCTTCTTCTGATGCTATTTTCTGCTCTTTCCTCTCTCCATCACAGCAAGACATTCAGGGCCCTTCCTCACAGCCATATAACCCAGAATATCAAGGCGGATAATCCACAATATCTTCTTTGAACTGGGTTGTCTGAGGCCACACTGCCATATAACCCAGTTCAAAGCAGATAATGTGGGATTTTATACCGCTGTGTGGAAGGGGCCTCATTTGATCAGTGGTCCTCCAAGTGTTTTGGACTTCAGCTCTCAGCATTCCTGACTATTGGACATTATTATTATTATTATTATTATTATTATTATTATTATCATCATCATCATCATCTCCCATTGCCACACATCAGTGGCAGTGGGAAAGCAGCCCTTTATAAGACCCTGTTTAGTCCCCCTAAGTTGTTGTTGTTGTTGTTGTTGTTGTTGTTGTTGTTGTTAAAACTATTAGGGACAGTTTCTTGGGTCTCATGTTCTGCGTTTTGTTTTTGTTTTTCAACCCCAGCCCCTTCCCCTTCTTCTTCTCCTTTTTTTTTACATGAGTGTTAACAAAATTCATGGATAATAACACAGGCCAACCAAAAAAAAAAGTTCTTGGTTATAAGGCCTGTGTAGATGGGGCTTTAGTTAAGGATTAGTTAGCCTGTTACTGAGGTTATTTGGGGTGCTGATTCAGGAAATTGCATGGGATAGACCACATCATCTTTAGATTATTACACATTGTTTTCTTTGGGCAAGCAGATAGTGAATACTGAGTGCCATATGTTCTGTATCAGAAACTAGAGCTAATATGGTCTATTCAATGCAATTTTCTGAATCAGCACCCCAAATAACCAAACTAAATCTAAAGTTGACCAAAAGCTTTTTAAATACATTTGGTACTAATGTTGAAGAGTGGTCCCTGATCAAAGTGATCCCTGGCCAAAGAAAGGTTGGTAACCATTGTTCTGGAATAATTTGACTAACCTAAGATTGCCATCTCATGGGAGAAAGCAATGCTGCCTAGCTTCCCCCCATACTTTCCTCAGCTTACTGATGACAGCACAGTGTTGCATCTCAGAATAGATTCACCTTGCTGAAATCACCAGAACTGCAAACAGACTGAAGTCTTTGTAGAATATTGAAAAGTAAAAGATGAAAAGTTTTAAAAGCAAATAGTGTTCCAAAGATCAATAAAACATAGCACTGAAAAGCAGAATTCCAAATGGCACCAAGAAAACAAAGTCCCATGAGAACATTTCAAAATCCCAAGACCATGGACACAGGAAAACGAGCACAAGCTGCTTGGTTGAGCAAGAAGTACCTCTGACAAAGGTTTGTTTTCAAACACACTGATTAATACCTGAAAACATTTCTTTGGCCTCTGACCTCCTTCTTGTTGGCTATTCTCACACTTCTTCAAACTCTGAATTTCAAACGGTCAGCCAGATCTAAGATTCCCGTTTCATTAAAGTCAGGCTGCTTGTTAGTGTCAGCCTGGTTGCCTTCCTGCCTACTGTCAGGCTGAGAACAGTCCTCCTTTTCTGAGTCAATTTGCACCTGGCTAGTTTCAGCATCAAAAACATCATTCTCTGCTGTGGGAAACTGAACTTGCACACCCTGTTCCTTTTGAACCTGATTGTGAACCTGAATCCCATCATCCTCGTCAGAGTCACTCTGAGACCCCAACTGAGTCACAACACTATCAGTCTGTGTCTGTGGTTCCAGCTGAGTCCAGCTGAGTCAGTAAGCCTCCTGTGTTTGCAGGCTGCTGACCTACGATGCTTGTAGGACAGATCCCTGCCAAGAGTAGCCCTGCATCATGTGATTTGTCCTGGATCTGACCTGCAAGCATGTATGACAGGGCCAAAGATTAAGGTGATGAGGTCAGAACACAAACTCTATGCCTCGATCCATTGGACTGAAATGCTTCTGGCACTCTCCTGGCTTTTTCATGTTCCAACATTTTCCATGTAAAACACACAAACTAGGTAGCATACCAAGCAAATGAATCTTGGCTTAAGCTCGAAATGCATATTGATGATTTTATTTTAACTTTAATATCATCTTACAAACAATAAATCAGATTTTCTCCATTTTCAGGGGTGCTCACCTCAAGACTTTTTGCCTTTTAGGGAATGGAAAAAGTTGAATAATTTCCCAAGATTCAAGAGGGTATTTACAAACATGCAAATATGCAGAGAATGCTTGGACATCTAACAAACTGGGTGGTTGTTTGTGGAAGAAAATGTGGTCTCGAAATTAATTTTTAATACTTCTGAGATGACTGTGTAAATAATGCTTATATATATATATATATATATATATATGGTTAATTTTTATGCATAGTTGTAGCATGTATCATTATGAATTTTTGAATGAATATTTGTTCAGATTGATGTCATGATTTTCAGATATG